GTTATATGGGCCAGAGATGTGAGAGTAAGGACATCTACTTAAAACTAACCGTAACTTTTGATCGAATTCATTACAATTAATTCTTTACTATTCTTTATAATATAAATATATATAAAACTATAATATTATCGACAAAAAAAATCAAATGTAAACTTGAGTTCCGTTTTTTCTATTATTTATTATTAATTTGTTTTTAATTGATTAATACAGTTGTAATGAAATTAAGTTTTTGATTATTAAATAAAAAACAAACCAAATAAATACACTTTTTTGAATAACAATTCTATGTCAGCTTTTGGCCCGATCATGATTAAATACCCGGATTAGTTTTGAGATCGTTTTGATTATTTTATTTAGGAGTATATCAAAGTTATAGTTATTGATATTTTTATTACTATACAAATTTTAAATTTCATATAATAATAATACCGTGATTTTTAACAACTACTTTAATTGAAGCTTAAAAGCTTTATACTAAACAAAATATAATACAATTAACGATTTTATAATAATTTAATATTAATAAAGAATAGCTTTAAATAAACATGAATTAGTGAGTAATGATCTAATAATAGCGTAATATAACAACGAATAACAATAGAGAAAACATATAACACATAAAGTATTGCAAGAAATGTGTTGAGAGCGCAAAGATGTCTATAATTAGATTATTACAAAAAGTAAGAGTAAAGTATTACACGGTTTACACAAAGTTTTTAAAACAACATTCATGTAAAGCGCTTCTCGACTCCTATCCCGGGATTTCAGAGAATCGATGAATACATTTGATCCCAATTTTCAAGTTTTGATGAAATACTGACTCAGATCTCGTTTTTATTAACTTCTGTCTAATCATCGCTTTTGAATAATATAAATATTTAACATAAAATCCATGCATTGATTATATCCGCAAAGTAAGCAATAATTTATCAAATGTTGGCCAAAATGGTTGTGTAGTCTAATAACTGTCTGATAATAATATTAAATGCATTAAAATTAATTAGAATATTAACAAAACATTTAGAGTTAACAATATTAAGAATTTCATATCAAGAATATTATTCTTCTCAAAGAGATTCTGTATTTTTCAGACAGAGATAAGACTTGACTTAAGGGGTCGTCCGATGAAAAGATATCAAAATTCAGTGCTATATCTCAACAGTTCGTCAAATACTTTATTCTCAAATTACATATAATTAGATCCAAAAAGTCATATCCACTNATATTAAGAATTTCATATCAAGAATATTATTCTTCTCAAAGAGATTCTGTATTTTTCAGACAGAGATAAGACTTGACTTAAGGGGTCGTCCGATGAAAAGATATCAAAATTCAGTGCTATATCTCAACAGTTCGTCAAATACTTTATTCTCAAATTACATATAATTAGATCCAAAAAGTCATATCCACTCTCCTCTCGAGCACCTCATCATCTCTTTCGATGTCTTGCCATCTCTTTTGGATCTCTTATACTATAAAGAATTTCGTCTCCTTTTTCTCGTCAAATAAATGTATTTTTATTAATAAATTAAATGTTAATTATGTTGTTATTTCTAAAATATATTTTTATTGTTTCGCATAATAAACAATATATAAAATTAATATTATTTTTGTTTTAAAATAGTTTAGTAATCGTAAAATTAAAACTAAAATCAATGTCTTTACGGCTCTTAAATGTCATTTAATGCTTACACAACGCTTTATGATATATTGAAATATTAATATTAAATAAACACAACTTAATGTTTAGTATTTACTATTTAAAACAGTTATTTACTAGTAAATCGTCTAATTTGGAAATATTTTAAATTTTTGTTTTTAACAATATTTTTAAAAAAGTTAGTTCTATAATGAATGCTATAAATAGTTTTGGTGCGAAAATGTTTAAGTTTTTAAAAATAATTTTCACTTTAAACTCATAATTTAAATAAATGTATAGTTTAGCAGAATTATATATTAAAATTAATTTAAATAATTTATAAATTATAATAAAAAAAATTATTACTAATTAAATTAAATACAATAAAAAAAAAATTAAATTGAAATTAAATTAATTATTTAATTATAAATATAAACATAATTAAAAATAAACATCATTTGAGAGTTGATATCAATTTGTATAATAAAATTTCAATTAAATCAAACAGAAATCAATTAATATAAGAGTCTATACTTGAGGCCAAATGTGATGCAAATATCAATGACATGAATAAGGATTCATCTCTTTATAAGATTTATAGATTCGTATATTTTAGTCAAAATAGGATTTTCATGGATTGCTTTGAATATAAAATGGATTTTTAAACAAAGCTTTTATCTATTTTAGATTTAAGAAATATATAAACTTTTCGCATTTAAACTTCTTTTATGTGTTTTTTATTCCTAATAATAAGATAAAAATAAATTTAAATATCCTTTTATTTCCACTCAAATACATCATAAGACCAATACATATATTAATTGAAAGTTTTTCAAAATTTAATGTTTGGTTCGCTCTCCAAATGGTTGAGAGGAAGAGCACTAAAACACTATAAAATACTATTATATCAGATATGAAATAAAATTTAAATTCTGTATTACAAGTAGACACAGAAATGATTACTCATTTCGTAAGTTGTTTTTTGTCTAATTATAGATCAAATGGAGTGAAAGACATAATGAAAACCGAAACTCAAATGTTAGCCAAAGAATTGAATGAAAAAACAGATTCTGTTGACAACAAAATGAGGTCACAATTGCACACAAACTTTATTTTAAATGTGGGTTTTAATTATTAAATTTCACACATTTGGCAGACATTGGTTCTAATGATACAAAACAATACATCCTTTAAAGTTATTGTTAAAAAGGGTTTTTTAAAAATATAAACTGATTTTTTGTGTAATGAATAAAACAAATTTAAGTCACACTTTCAGGATATGAATGAAATCTAATAATTTTAAAGGTAAAGCACAGGTGAGTAAATAATGTTTGAACGACTTGTCAAATATTAGCTTATTTACCGTACATTTTCTTTTGTGTCATCGCTTTTAACGAAATTTAAAACTATTAAATTCACACTTTTTAAGTGTCAATCATATTTTTCAAGAAAACCTCATTTAGCCTAAAATTTCAAATATTTTGTTTTAAAACTATTCAAACGAATCTAAAATTCTTTAGATAGTTATTTAAATTCTTAATAATTGTGTATTTTTACATTATTTAAATATAAAATCAACGAATTAATAAAATTGTAAAAATATGAGCGTTTGGAAAACGTTGGTGATAATAATAAATGTGCATGATAATAAGAATCAATTAAGAAATAATTAGAAAATTATGGTAAAATTGTAATCCATTAAAATTCTGTATTAAGAGAATTCCAGCAAATATTGAAATTAAAAGATTTTCGGATATATTGACAAAAATAAAGAGATTAAGAGATAATTGATTTTGAACTGAAAAATTTAAGAGATTATAAAGATTTTATACATTGATTAGTGGATGGGATTATGGGGTGTAATGGCTGTGCGGATACTGTAGAGTGTATGAGACGGTAGGTGTAAAGTGAGTGCTGAAGTGGTTGTCGATAAATACCTGTAGAGTGTTATAACAGGTGTGACGAACAGTAGTTGAGATCATTTCAATGGTTAGCAACTTATAAATGCATTAAATTGGATGAAATTGGTTGGCAATGGGAGTGATGGCAGTGAAAGTGTGTATGTGTTGGATGTGCTGTAGATGTTTGGGTGCCTTTGGGATGCCTTTCCCCTCTTGTACTGACACAAGCACTACATTAATACGGAATCGGTTCAAGTGTTGAGTGCATTAAATGCGCTCATTTGCGGATTAAGGATTTTGTGTGAGTTTTGCTAAAATGCAAACAACTCTATCAATAGCTATGAAATGCTTTGAGAATAAAGCTATGATAGGCCTGTGATAACAGTGGGGAAAGCGATTTGTTTAATGAACAAACAAAAACGGGTCCATAAGAGGCTTTCTTTTCTCACTATTTTCTAAATGCATGCTTAGGCTCAGGGATGGCACACAGACAGAGCCAAGCACTTACCGGGGATGCCATCTCAACCATCATCATATAGAGTACGTATACTGTACTGCATATACCGTGTATATCGTGTAAATAGCCCATGAATAGCATTAACAATACGCATACATTTGCTACACAATCCTTACTCACGGGATAATAGGATTTATAGCCAACAAATCTAAAATGCTTTTTGAGTTCAACTCAGTTAGCATTTGAAGACATCAACGCTCTCTCCATCTCTCTCTCCCCATCTCTCTCCCTCTCATACTCTCTTCCCTCTCTCCCCCACTGTATGTGTTTAGCGATTGAAAGCCGAATAAAACGACTAAAAACAGTGAAATCGAATTTACAGATAGAGATATACTTATAGTATAGAAGCGATCCCTCATTCCTGTGCCGACTCTCATCTCATTCACAACTATTCACTCAAAACGAGAGCACAAGTCGTATAACGAGAGGAAGAATAATACGAGAAGAAGAAGAAAAAGTTTTTCTCTCAAAAGTGTTTGTTTCGTAATTGCATATCATTTTGGCGTTAATTGCGTTGACGTGAGCCATGTATGACAACCATCACCACAATCTCCAACCCCTACAACACGTGAGTATTTATCTTGTATTGAATTCGCGGTTTTAATTTCCGCTTCATTTTAATAGTTGTTTTGTGTCTAACTCTCACATCCCTTCCCTCTCTCTATATATAGGCCTCACAGTCAGACATATCTGTCAGTCACACGATTGGGAGCCAACAGTTGCTGTCATCGACACAATCAACGATTACCACAAATACATCGCAAATGAATCCGTATTACAGTTCGAGTAATCTCTTGAGATTCGGATCCGTCGGACCACAACTCGATCGCAACTCCGCACTGTTTCCGTACCAGAACTATATGGGCGTCGGTATGAATGCCATGAATAACCACCAGTGGATTAATCCCTATGAAAATCCTTTGAGTACATTAAACGGTTAGTAAATATTAGAGTTGGCCAAAAAACGACTCACATATTTGGTTATGGCTCTTAAGTTGATCACCAAATCTCTGCTTTTCATTGCAAATCAATACAGATCTGACGCTAAATATAATGAGCGCTTCTGTGGTGAACACAACCGACTCGCGTAAACAGCGTCGAAGTCGGACCGCATTCACGCACAACCAATTGGCGGCACTGGAGTCGACGTTCAGCCGAACCCAATACCCGGATGTGTCGACTCGCGAACGGTTAGCCCTTTTGACACATTTACCCGAAGCCAGGATTCAGGTCTGGTTTAAGAATAGACGCGCGAAGTATAGGAAAACTATGAAAGGAATTGGAGTTAATGTAAGCGAACATAAGTTAGAGAAGAGTAGCCCTCAGGAGTTGGAGAAAAGAGATGATCACTGTTTTGATGCAAAAACTGATGCATCCGTTAAAGAACCGGAGGAAGAGGTGATTGTGGCGGACGATAGGCTTCTCATGAAAGCAGATGTCGATAATATGATTGACAGAAGAGGTTCAACCGATTCTTCCTATAATAATATCCCATCTCTTATGTGGTCGTCATTGTTGTCATCGAAAATACATTCCCTAAACATTCCTCGACAACAGATTTGGTTACCAACTCTTCACGAGTCGGACCGCAAATTGAAATAATCTTTTTTATTTATTTGATTTTACTCTTGCATATCAATTATATTGTAAATTTGCATCATTTCCAGCATATGTTCATTTGTTTTATCATTATTGATGTAATGGTCAATTAATTTTGAATTTAAACTTTAGATTCTAACGATTGTAAGCATTGTGTCATTTATATCTTAAATTATTATTTAATTATTTATTTTATTAGTATTTTTTGTAAATTTTGTCTTCAATAAATATGATTAATTTTTAATTGATTAAACATTTGCGTTAACTTTTATTATGGTATAAATATTACTATATAAAAAATTATTATTTAATTATTTATTTTATTAGTATTTTTTGTAAATTTTGTCTTCAATAAATATGATTAATTTTTAATTGATTAAACATTTGCGTTAACTTTTATTATGGTATAAATATTACTATATAAAAATAATGTGAGCATAGAATTTGAAGATTCTTACAGAATATGACTTAAAATATTGTACATAATATAGTAAAGTGCATTTTACTAGCATATTAAAAATATAGATAATTAGTCAAATTAATAGTATAATTATAATGAAAATTGATTATGCACCATTTTTAGAGATTAAATTCTTTTTAATGAATACAGTACTCTATATCTCATACTAATCAATCAAAAACCCTTTTCTAATTAGAATATCATATAATTAATGATATTTTGATAATAAAATTACAATTACTATATTATGTACAATATTTTTAAGTCATATTCTGTAAGAATCTGCAAATTCTGTGCTCACATTACTTCCCGATTCTGTCGAGTGTTTTATATAATAACTAATTTGAGCCTAAAATAAGAAAATTTGAAACTTTTAAATAGACTTATTCTCTGAAAGAAGTTCATTAACTCTTAAACTAACGCTTTTTGGTTTAAAAGACATAATAAGTCTTATTTATACAGTATTTGTACCGTATATTCACTATAATATCGTTAGTTTTTAAGCGCTTGTCTTTCACTAGCGTTTCGATCCATTCATTAGCTTTAAAACCAATTTTTACTGCAATTTATATCCAAACAAACCGATAGTCTTTTGCCAACAAAAAGTCAAGCGAAGAGTTTAGATATGGATATAAATAATACACTGTTTTAATTGTCAGCTCTACTAGAAGTACAGCACATTTATATGACATAAAAATTTAAGGCATTATGAATTGAATCATAAGCTTTTATATTTAATACAGTATATTCTATACTCTATTGAAATTGTTTTATTTAACCATTACTATAATATACACTAGATATTACACTGGATATTACACTAGATTTCATTCGCTATTCACAGAGAAGCAAATGATTTTACTAGCGGTTAGAAAACATCAATTCATTTATGCCACACCTGACCGACGGTCACATCATTTTGCCGTTCAATTCATAGTGACATCAGTGAGAGTTGTATGCAATGAATGCGACAACAATCCTATGAAACAGTCTCTGCACTAAAGCAGTCAATGCATACAACTCTCACTTATGTGAATAGTGTATATTCTTATATATTCTTATGTACATAATACTGTATCTTAATTTAGTTAACAACTTTTAACAAGTAAAAATTTTAATGGTACATTTACATTGTTTAGTTTTACAAGTGTAGAGCGCAGTGCTACAGTATAAACTGACCAGGGCAGTTCTAACATTACATTTCTCATAATCTACTACATGTACTACAATCTACTCATAACTTTAAAACATATTAATATATAGTTTTAAAATATACTAAATTCATGTAAATTAAAACGAAATTAAAAAGAATATTTACGTTAATTATTAAAATATTAAAATTAAAAGAGTGACTAAATTAGCACTTAATAAGTTAATGACAAAATTACGTTTTGTATGATTATTATAGCACAACATTGATGTAAAGCCAATCACATTACAGACAAACCCAACATTTGATACCTTTTATGCATTTGAATGTATGGCTTATATTGCGATAAAAAGGCCCTAAAGTGTTGGCACAACTCAATCACATCTCAATCACGGGTTTAAAACGTTTTTCAAATGTAAATAAAAAATATTTGAAAAATAAATGCTTTTTTGAATAAATCATAAAAATAATGATTAATTTGTTTGAATCGTTGACTCAATCGATGAAATGCATTGTCAAAGATGTGGATCAACTGACTTCGACGAAGAGAATGGTGTCTTCTATTGTACAATATGTCAAACACAGACACAGGTATGCCTTTCATGTGGTGATCGTTGGATCAGATGATGACCACGTGTTGACCACTTGATTGTCATTATAATAATGATTTAACACGTGTTTAATGATATGATTGGATCCGATGGACAGGGCTTTACACAAGAGAGTGCGGAAGTGTTCATCGATAGGACCAAAAATGACCACGTGTTGACCACTTGATTGTCGTTATAATAATGATTTAACACGTGTTTAATGCTATGCTTGGATCCGATGGACAGGGCTTTACACAAGAGAGTGCGGAAGTGTTCATCGATAGGACCAAAGTCTTCGCCAAAGAGATCAAAAGCAAAAAGAAACGCAAGACTAAAGATCGGAAGACTAGTGTCCTCTGGACCACAACCGAAGCCTTCAATATAATACTCCGGAAGCAAATGAATGGTGTGTTTGAGTTGAACGCATCGCACATGGATTGGTCGGCCTTCAAGAAGTGCGCCACCATTTTGTGGTTCAGTTATCTCCGTAAGTGTGGTCTCGGCTTCACTGGTGAGGAGACGGCAGACGCCGAGACCATCAGTCGACGCCTTCATCCGGCCTCACGTTTTCGCGACTTTCAGATACTGACCAATAAAGTGAGCGACTCTTTGCCGCCTTTCAAGAACGGCTCCTCCGCTAAAGGCTTTGTCGGTGTGTTTAAGTTGGGCGCAGACGGTGTCGTCCGCACTGTCGAGGAATTGGATTCGCTCGACGACTATGTTTGCCATAAGAGTGATAAACGACGAGTCAATGATGTCTTCTCCGAGCGAAACATCGATCCGAGAGATTACTCGAAGCAAAAGCCCTACGAAATGATGATATCGAAAGAGTCCCGAAGATTACTAATGAAAGTATTATCTGAAATGGATTTAAAGAATTCGGTCGAAGAGACCATCGGTTTGTCGGAAAAAGGCGTTGATTTCAGTGACGATACAGACATTCAATTCGATAGCGAAGACTCCAGTAGTGAAGAAGTGGAGAATTTGGACCAAAAGCCGCACCACTTGACACTGCTGTTCCTATTGCACAGGTAGTAAAGCCTGGTTACCAAACTTAGCCTGCTGTTCAAACTGCTTAAGCTGTTTCTTAACTACTCTTTAAACTGGCTTTGCTGGTTTAACATGCGGTTTATGTACCCATTATCTTATCTGAAGAACTCGAAATATATAGCGTCTGACTATTTCATTGATTTGATGTGTTTACCCAAAACACTGGCCATTCTTAACATTGCGATGCGTTTGCTCTCATACGACATCTTCACCATTGATTTGATCCGTTGGGCAAATGACGGACGCATTCCGTACCAGAACTGCATGACATGTTTGCCCGAAGAGTGGCTTTTCATATCCAATGACTTTCATACGTTCACCTCTTCATTCATTCCCTCCTATCAGACAATCAACACATTGTCGGCAAAGATAGCCAAACATATCGGTGTGAAGACGTTTCCCAGACCTAACTTAGAGAATCTGTTGATCAGATTTGCCAAAGACTTGAATTTACCCAAAGATATAGTTTCGGTGATTGAAAACAATTACAATCTTTACGAACACTTTTCGAGTAGATTAGAGCGAATGGCTATTAATATGCGTAAAGTTAGCACATTTCCAGCCTATGAGAGATGGGCTCTAATGGCTATCGTTTTGGTACTCAAACGCATATTTCTTCTCAACGACTCGTCTGAGAAGCGTTTGAGTCATTACTCAAGAGATTTAAACCAATACTTTAATTGGTATGAATGGGAACAATATTCACGCGTTCGGCTCGAGTTGATTACGTCTTATACCACATCCCTGTATGGCTGGTGAGCTATGATTGACATAATTGTGGTTTGTTTTGTTATTAAATGATATTTGAATGCAATTCTGTAGCAAATTTGAAGATATAAAAGATGTGGATGTGATTGTCGAGCATTCGCTTAAACGCTCTGATTATGAAATGACAAAAACCATTGAATGCATCAAAAGGGGTTCGTAAGACTTAGTATTGATATTTTTAGTTTAAATCTAATGAATTGTTTGACTTATAGGTTATAAATACTATGACTTTCGGCAAGATTTGCGACAGGAGTATAAATCTTTGCTTCTGAATGAAAACGACTCTCACGACAGTCAGTCGACTGAATCAGTCTATCATTCATTATATCCGTTAACGACTGCAACAGAATTGGCGTTAAAACGGGTCACTTCTCCCGCTGTGAAGGAAGTGTTGTCCACTAATTTTGAAGACAAATCACTGAGCGGTTGGACGTGTAGTCACGGAAAGGTATTTCATAGAGGCTATGATTTCTTACACAAAGATCCCAAACAGTGGTCCTCAACGTTCAAACTGCTGATCCGTTTGAGTTGTATAATACTCTGCTGTCGGACCAAAGATCTCATACCAATCATCAATAGAATGGAAACAATATATTTCAGTAATAAAAGCATGAAAAAGAAATTTAAACGTTAATTAACTCACAATTAGCGGTGTTTACTGTAATGTGAATTGTACTCAATGTTCTGTTTGGCTATATATTTGGTTAATTTAATTTACGGAATTTTACTATTTATTTAATGAAAATATATATCTTTTAATTTCCTATTATATTTGTATTTATAAATTAATGAAATGACATTTTAAGAAAGTAGAAAAATTAGTTTCAATTAAAAACAAACATATTATGAATAAATAAAAATTCATTTGAAAACATCACTAGAAATGGCATTCAATTCGTTAAATGAATAGATTATTAAAAGCAATACTAATGGAAAGCAGCGAATGGTTTGGATTCAACAAATTCGGTGACTTTGAAACGAGGGTAAAGACCCTTACGTTTAGTCCGATTGTGATCTCCGGTGTTATACCCGTTGTGTTCGTT